AGGCGGCGCGGCTCTCGTTCCCCGAGCACGCACGGGGAGCCCCGGCCGAGCGCGCCCCACACACGCCCCTGCCCAGGAGGGAGAGGGCATCTTTTGGCGGAGGCCGCCAGTCGCAGCCCGAGGGCCCGTTCTGTGCGGTGCTGACGGACCCCCTCCCGGGGCGGGGGGGCTGAGCTGCTCCGGGCATCTCTTGCCCACCCGCTGACCAAAGCCGGCAGCCCCGGTGGGCCGATCCTTCCTCTGCGGAAGCGCCCCGGGGAGGTGGTGCACCCACGAAAGGTAGCCTGATAAGCAGCCATCCGGGAAGGTGCCCGGCCGGCCCTCCTCCTCCTCCTCCGGGCGGAAGCGGCGGCGGAGGGTAGGTGTGGCCCAGAGCTCACCTGGGGCAGGTAACGAGGCAAGGACGGCAGATCGGAGCTGAAGGGCAGCTGTGCGGAAAGGGCCGGGAAAACCCAGCCAGGAGGGGTGGCTTTACCTGCTGTAGGAATGGGGGGGGTCCTTCGGACAAGAAGAGCAACGGGGGTAGGAGTCCTTCCCCCCCCCCCCAAAAAAAGAAATAAAGAAGGGGAGGGGATGCGTGTTCCAAGCGGAGGGAGAGGTTCCTTAGGTTCTGGCTTCGGTCTGCCTGCTGCTGCTTGTAAAAACCAGGGGCAGAGATCTCCTGCCTTTTGTCAGGGAGTCCCCGCCCTAGGCCAAGGGGGGGGGTGTTGTCAGTCTCTTGCCCTCACCTTGTTGGCCCTGGGAGGAAAAGCAAAATATAAAAGTAACTTAGTAAGTAAGTGATTCCTTTTTATTTGTGGGCAGGAAGAGGGTGAGGGGCTTCTGCAGAGCTTTCCTCCTCCCGTCCGGCCAGGTTGCCAAAGGCCATGTGCCTCTCTCTCTCTCTCTCTCTCTGCCTGCTGGGAATGGGAGCCTGGCTCCCTCCTGGCCACCCCAGAGAGAGTGGTTCCTTTCCTGCCCCTGTGTGTGTGTGAATCTTTCTTGAGTTCTGCTCGGCGGCAGCTGCCCTGGCAGGCTCTTTATCAGTTTCCAGGCTGTCTGCTGGTGGCTGTTTTCTGTTGGTGCTTGTGCTGGTTCTTCTATGTTCTCACCCCCACCCCCACCCACCCCCAGCCCAAGTGTCTGGCTTTGATAGTAGGAGCAGGATCTTGGCAGGCGCCCTGGGTCACCCTGCCTCCGCGCGCCCTGCTTCCTTGATTTGAGGGGTGCAGGTGCTGTTGCTCAGTGTGTGTTTCTTGCGGAGTTTGGAAAGGGCGGTTGTCCTCCCCCCACCCCCATGGCTGTGCTGCTGGGGGGGGGCTGTGGGCCCAAAGGTAGCGTTCCCAAACAGTGCTTCTCTCCCTGGCTGTACCTCTTTACTTTTCCTCCGGGGTCCTTCATGAAACAGGCCTTCCTCTCCTTCCCGCCACATCCCCAGTTTAACTGGGCCCAGGGCTAGCGGGGGGGGGGGATGCAGAGCCACTTGTGCTAGGGAAGCTCATGTCCCCATTTTGCCCAGGGAGTTCTTGAAGAGTGTTTCCATAGCCAGGTTCTAGAGGAGGTGCCAGAGACCAGGCGAGACGCTTGGCTTGCTGCGCTCAGGGGTGGGGATGACCCTGACCGGCAGCAGTAGCTGGTCTTAGGGGCTGCGGCCAAGAAAGAACTCTTTGTCCCATGTTCAGAGCCTGAGCTTTCAAACGGGGGGCGGGGGGCAGTCAACCCCTTAGCCTTTAGGAGGGGTTGGCCCTCCCCTCTAGGTCCCACAGCTCTAGATTTCCACCCAACCATTGCTTGCAGAGAGAGGAGCTGCAACTTGGGGATGTTTCTTTATAACGGTTCAGCCTTCTGCAACTTGGTACCCTCCACTAAAACTCTCATCATCCACAGCCTTTCGGACCAGCATTCCGTGACACCGCTTGCATGGAGAAGGCAGTTCAGCAGTTCCCAGTACAGGGGACACTCAAAGAACCAGTGGCTTATCTGGAATCTGCCAGCTTCTATTGTACAATATTTGGGCTGCAGGGCCTTGCTTCTCAGCAGCCACTTGGGTAGCTTCAGGCAGCCACAAGAAGAGGGTCCACAGAGCTGAGTCAAGATGACTTTGCTTTGTTCTTGTTTTGGCCACTTCAGGTGTTCCAAATTAAAACATTTTTTCTTAGCCTTTCCAGGCTGCAAATCCAGGGTTTCCACCTTCAGGCAAAGGGGCCCCTGTGGAAGAAGGAGAACAGAAGTTCCTGGGTGGGCCCTGTTAACATTTTGCAGCTGGAAGGGGCATGACCAGTGTGGGGCAGATGGTTTGGGGTGCAGTGGGGTGGAGGAGCAGTGCTTGGATTGAAGCCCCTCTCCTTTCCTCTTTCGGATGGCCTTGGATCCCAACTCCACGGCTGAGCCACCTTTTGAACTCACGGCTTGTGGAGCTGGGCAAGAGCAACCAGTCGTGGCTTGGGGAAATCAAGGCTGCCACGCCGGAGGACTGCTGTATTATTAACAGCGCATAATTTTGTTAGGTGCAGAGTTTCTGCTGCTGGCCAGAACTGGGGGCAGGAAAAGCCCCCCTTCCCCCAGGGACCTGGAGCAAGAGCAGTTGGTGGGGGGCAAGAGCTCACGGTCTTTGAGCCTCATCCAGGGAGACGGGATCTGATATGCCTGTATTACCAAGTCACCTTTTGTTGCAGAATCCACCTAGAAAGGACCCACCAGGTGGGCATCTTAGGAGGCTGTTGCTGGAAGAACGGTAAACACAGTCGCTCGCCAAGGTTCAGCTGCGTGCTGTGTATGAGTCTTTCTACAGGTGGAAAAAAACATTTGGGACAAGAAGTTTGAAGGCTGGCTCTTTTTTCCCCAGCCAGTGTAACGTACTGGAGTCCCATGCTGGTTTTTGGCTAGCTGGGATGCCAAGAAGCAAAAGTGACCTATTCTGCTTGTCAGCAGGTTAGTCTCCTGCAGGATGAGGTTGGCTTAGAAATTTTCAGTGGGTTCAGGAAATGTAAGATCCACTGATTCAACTCTGGCCTTCTGCTTAACCCTGGGATTTCTTTGGGCTCAGAAGGTACCCCCTCCCCCATGCCACTGATAGAAAGTCTTATTTGATGACTTGAGTGACCATTAATGGTCCGTTGTCTTGCCCAGGACCAGCAGAGGAATCGGTGTTTTCTCCTTGTTCCACACTAGCCGTTAGAAGTGAAGGTCCTCGGGAACACAGTTTCTGCTATAGTTTTTGGACAGCCAGCTGTTTTTCCCAGGCGGTTTTCCTTTTTCCAGTCTGGTGATGGTGCGCCTGCCTTAGATTTATTCCCCCGTTTGAGCTTTGAATTAAATCAGCTGTGTGTTTCTTTTGCTTTTGAAGGCTGGTGTCTGCTGCCCTGGTTTTGCTAATCCACCCCACCCCACCCTCTGCTAACTGGTGCCTTTTGATGTGATTTCTTCCCCCCTCCCCAAATTCCAGCCTTTGAGTTTTGAGTGAGCACTGAAGCAGTCCCTTTATGTTGCTCGGAAGAATTCTTCCAAGGCTACGATGGATTGGCTGTTTCTGCATTGACAGCTTGTGGTTAGCAGTCCAGAAAACAGCCCTTGGGCTTTAAAGGAAGATGGAGCCAGCCGGTCCACTTTTATCCAAAGTATGTTACGTAGGAGGGAATCCTAATGACATAAGGAGTCGCTTTGCTCTGCGTAAGTGTTCAGGACCACTGCCTTGGGCGATAATGTGAGCCAAGGCAAACAAAATCCTCCCCACTGATTGCAGGGATGGTGTTTGCCTTTATACGTGCATGCAGAATGCCCCCCCAGGATTTGGGTGAAGACTCTTCTTTGTTCCTGGCACACCCTGCTTCCTGATGAACTCACCTGCTTTGCTGATTTACACACTTCAGGGTATTCTTTGAGGAGTCCTGGAGTCTCTCTTAACTCCATGCTTTGCACCTGTCCAAAGTATAGCCAAAAAGGTTGGTTCTAGCTGAATTTCAGGCCCAAGTGAACCTGGGAGCCCCATGTTGCCCTTCCCCTTTTCTCTGGTCTGGCAGATGCAGGAGCAGGAGAAGGAAGAGGCGCCAGTGTCGGGCGGACCTACCTGAGCCACCTGGAGACAAGGAAGGGAGAGACTGTGGCAGCCGCGGCAGCACGGATGGTGCCCTGTTGCCATGCAGCTGCACGTGGTCCCGTGTCGCGGCTGAATTATAACAGGATCAATAGGAGACAATGGTGTGGTTGCCTAGCAATTGCATATGACGTGTCTCCCAAGTCGACGCCCACCTTCCATTTTGGTTCCAGGCTGACGTAGGCTCCCCTCCCCCCCTCCTCAGCCCCTGTGTTGGTTTGGTTGGGTAACTGTGGTGCAGGCGTCTCACGAAAGTGGCTGACCTTGGGGTGAACACAGAGGAAGGAGGCGACCAGTAAAGAGAGATGTGGCTGACATTCATTTTTTCCCTGG